CCTTCGACTCCAAAGTCTGATCCACAAGGCTGTGGGGCGTAAATCCAACGCGTGAGCGTGAACGAAGCACCCGTGTGGGAGATTCTAGAGACCTGTCACGCAAGGCCTTTGAATCTCGGTTAAGTTTGTTGCTCGCTGATGCGTTGATTGTCAGTCCGCTTTTCGGGATCGGCACTCGGCCTCATGCACCCCATGAGACACGCGGAACGTTGACGGGACAGCACCTTACTGGCTGAAGGCTGCTCAGCTTGGGCGGGCGGTGGCTGTCCAATGAAGAGCGAAGACTTCGCCCACCGTCAAGAGGAATCCCCAGGTAACCCGCTCCTACGTCAATCTAGCGGGAGGTTTCTGACGGGTAAACTGCCCCTCACCGTGTTTATTTGCTGGAGTGGCCCCTCCAGGGGCGTGTGGATAGAAGGAAAAAGCCAGGAGATGCCCAAGCAGCTGGCTTTGTGAGAATGAGCTTCGTCTTGCCTCTACCCGTTGACCTTTCAGGCACGATTGGATCTGCGGCTGAGGAGCCATCCTGTAAAGCTCTCGGTGTCAATGAGGCGCGTAAGCCATCACATCATGCCAAGGTGCAGTCTCGTCTGTAATCAAACTCGGATGGACAGGATGATTGCGATCATCTTTATAACTAACAGATTGATTACGATTAAAGACGATGCTGGTGGTTTAACAGGCGATGAGAAACAACGCGTGCTGGTATGATGTGTGATGCAGATGTATCAGTCTAGTCCCCGTATTATCACGTAATCAACTTTAATCGATTTATTTTTCAAAGGAGAAATTCGTCGTGTATATACGAAAAGAAAGCAAGAACTGAAAAGCTAAGGAAAAACTGAACAGCTGGTTCGATCTGGTTGGGTTTCATCAGCAGTACGAATTCATCGAACCAACTATGGATCGAATCCGGGACCTCATGGGCAGAACGCAAGCATGCTAACCACGCGGCCACCGAGCAGCTGATCAGACCGTTTTTCATTTTCCATTTACACGATATAGCACGTGAGAAATATCGACACTCTGCCTACAATGTGTATTTGTGATCCGGTAAATCGTATTACGTACACTAACTGTACCTCCACAGAAAGGACTCAACTTACTCGATGAGGAAAACAGATCAAAACAGACCGATCCATACACAAATATCCCGACTGTATACATGTTCACATCAATCGGAACAGGAATGTGCGTCCGTAGGCGCTTGGTAAGAAAAACCGGTGTGATGGGTGGGGGTGGGTGGACGCGGGGACAAAAAGTAGCCAACATTCAAGCACTGTACAAAAAATATTAGGAAAATAGTACAAAATAGAGAACCCTGTATGTGTGATTGCGCTGGTGAGCGCAAAGATTATGGTACAGGGAGACAAAATAAGAAAGAAGACAATTACCAGGCAAGTTCTCAAAACATGGTCCGGATCGGGAATGATTGTGAATCACAGGCGGTTAGTTTCAGATCGGTGGGTCAACTAAAATCACAGATGCGAAGTATCACAAACAGCGGGGTGGATGGGATGGGGGGAGAAAAGAAAATCACTCGATCAACTGGCTCTCTCTCTCTCGTTCTCTGTTTCACATGATGAGATCGAAAAGGTCGCGCAAAATTTAAAAAAAAATGACCAATACAATATAAAAAACACAATCACCCCATGCACCTTCGTACAAATTGAACACGAAAGGGGAATCCGAATCGGGCTGAATAAGATAACCGGGCTGACAGCGTGAGTGAATGACACTATTCTGAGCAGAACTAGTTTCCGCATCACGCACCAGTGCTGTTTGCCAACTTGGGGTGGGGGTGGGGGTAGAGCAAAACGGAATGCGCATCACGACTGATGATCGAAACGTACAAACACGACCTGTTCGTCGTCTTGAAGCATACGTTTCTGACGTCGACATTTGCGGATAAGGAACACGACCAGGGAGACCACCACGAATGTGGCACACAAGGTGAACGAGATTAGGGCAAATGTACGAAACGGACTGTATCGTAGTGTGAAACCTACATGTGAACTGTTCGCCGATTCCACCGAGCAGATTTGTGTGAACTGATCCGGTGGGACAAGCAACGGTCGAATTTGTTCCAGTACCCTGGTCAGTGGACAACCGTCTGCGGCTGGTCGTCCCGGACACGAGGGAAACTGCAAGTAGGTCCCAGTCTCATCGTGCCAACTACGTTTGTACAGGACGCGAAGCACGTGGTCAGATGCGGAAGTCACTTTATCCGGGCTGAGCAATTCCAACACGACAGCCGCGGAATATTCGATGGTCTGATTATCATACAGTCCGAGCCCGGAGAGAAGAGAGGTCACAGTGGTATCGTGAGCTGAGTAAGCCATTGTAGGCGAAGTGGAAAAATTGGTTCTATTAATCTCAGGAGTCCCATCAACCGAGGCGTGAACAATCGCATTCATATGTTGAACAAAGGAGTGCAGAAAAACACCAATCTCACGTCGTAGGATCTCCGTAGTCGAAGTGCGTTTAATCTGGGGACCGATGAAAGAGAAACAGATAGAAATCATTTGTGCATTTGAATAACAGTCAGAGTGGAACAGGTCGTGTGGCAATGTAATTAAAAAGGACCTTTTAGCATGTGAGATCGTAGTGATACAAAGATTACGACGCGATTCATTCTTCACAATTAACGCCTAGGATCGGTTGAGTGTCAGACATTCCTTGTCTCTGAACCCCATCAACAATACCGTACTTCCTCACTTACCTCTTTTATTCTTACTTCTTTTTATTTATTACTCAGTGATACAATTTTGAAGGAAGTGGTAAATCAAAGGGCTGCCATGGAAGTCTCCATCTTCCAAACAACGTGTGTGCATCCAAAAGCCTGAGTATGGTCGGGAGTGGGTGTCTAGGGTTGCGGCTGGTCACCCTTCTTTTGCACCTCGCGAAACGCTCCCATACGACCAAGCGTCTCAGACAGCTTCTGTCGAGGAAGCCCTACTCACTGCCTTCTCGTGGTGGAGTTGTTTTTCCACCAAAGTGAGAGGACGAAAAGCCGACATCCGGAGCTATAACCAGGTTGGTGAACCACTGGTAGTTCACCTAGGGGAGTTGGCCAAATATCCTGATTCCAAACCAACCAAGAGCAGGCGCGCGAACCATACACATTCTCGGTTGTGGCAGTGGTCACCGGCTCAGTTGCGCGTCTTGGTGAATTGGGCACCTTGGATGTTTAAACCTGTCCAAAGGGCGTATAATCCGATGAACTGAACACCGGCCCCTGATGGATTGCGGTCTTCACACACCGCCCCACTGCCTTGTGGGTCAGGCTCCGGCTGTGGATTCCGTGGTCTTGGCTTGTGAAACCTGGCATAATTCAGCTCACAAGCCAATCATCGAACGTTTTTCTTTTTTATAAAGATTATTGTACCATAATTTGCTTGGCACACAGTCTGTCCTCAGACAAGTGAGAAATATGATAACAATAAAGAATGAGTGTGAAATTACTGTATGGAATTATATAGTAAGTTCAGTCGTGTGCAGAGCAAATGAAACCGGAGCTGGAAAGCTAGAAAGCAATTGCTGTACATACAATTGCTTCGACCTGTTTGGGTCTCATCTACAGTACAAATCCATCTACCTTGATGAGGATCAAACCGGGGATCTTACAGGCAAAACGCAAGCATACTATTCACCTGACTAACAAACAGCCGATTATCCCGTTTATCATTTTTCCTTGGCATGACATTCGAATATGAGTAAAAAGTTAATGTTATCATTAGTTGAACATGGCAACTAGTTAACTACAAGAATGTATCGACGACATCATCCGTCTTGCTGAAACCAATCAGAGATGTGCAATGTGCATGGCCTAATTTGAAGAATGGATAAATAAAAATTTAAACCAAGGAAACAAATACAGTATCCACTACATCGAAGAAAATCTATTGATCAAATAATTTCAACTGACTTGTTGGAAGAACAAAAACGTGTTAGGGAACAAGCTCGCTTTCATCTGTGGGACAATGACACGTCGGAAACAGAGAGGCTGGGAAAGCTGATTGTCAGTGATATTCAGGATGTGGATTTTCCCATACCGGCCATATGATTAGTGGGTAGTAATTACAAAGTGAGTCTTCGCAACTGGCACGTTGAACGGAAACCAACAGACATGGGGGAGGAGTGGAGGGAGTGGGGGGGGGGGGAAA